ACAGTCGACACTTATGTTAGTCGATTTAAACGATTATATCATCGAGTAGAAGACCCTAATCATCGTCTCCCTGCAGTCCTATTAATCCAATTTTTCATCCAAGAACTACGCCTTGAGTATGCTGTTAATGTACAAGCTGCAGAACCTGCTAACTTAGATGCTGCCATAACAGAAGCATTAAAATGGGAAACAGGACAGGTCATGGTCGCTGAAAATAATACCAATGGTGATGGCAATGCCCAAGTCATAGAACGACTTACCGAACAACTTGCTAAGCTTAATATCAACTTAGCTGCTCAACAATCTACTATTCCTGTCTATTACTCCGAAACTAACAACAACAATAATAATAACTCCCTCCAATGTGACAACAACAATAACAACTCCCAAGATGCTACTTGTTACTACTGTGATAACAGATGACATTTTATTAGAGATTGCAGTGTTACTGGCAAAACCGCATGACTATGAAATCCAAGAATCATACGGAACGATGCATGTTGGAAGCACGAAATCATTATACAAGTGCCGTCGTACTGCAGTGCTCTGGGACCTGAAATTCCACCATGACGATCATATGCAAGAAACCTGCTCAAGCCGAGTCCTCTATAATGAAGCTCCAAATGTCGATCTCATGAAGCCAAGCCCCATCAAACTATCACATTGAAGAATGAGACGCTTACCTGATTCGGTTGACAGCTGTCAAGGCAATATTACCTTGTCGGGTAAGGTGTGTGACTATGAACGATAGAAGCACATGGGTTGATGGAAGAGTCAATGAATGAATCAATGGACTTGACGAGTAAAGAACGATGACAGCGTAGAAGCCTTCATTCGCCTTACCTTCTAAATGCATTCTTTTTCTATGCCGTTGAAGCTTCAATGAAAATGGCTGTGAGTAGAGGTTGGAAATTAGACCAGAAAAGGGATAGATGGCTGTAGTTCAATGACGGTTTAATGACAATCGATGAGAGGAGATGTTCGATCTTGTTCTATTTCTTGCCCTGTAATTTCGTTATAAATAAGAGGAAGAATTCCTCTTGTAAAAGTAGTCAGTATCTTCATAATTAGCACTATATAGATTCTAGTGTGTACCATTTGCCCCTATACAATAAAATCGTTAATAAAAGCCCTTGAATAAAACCAAACTAAGACGCTTTTTGAAAATTGCATCGAAGTACTTACATAACGATACTCAGTAGACGCCTTTGACCCGTGCCAAATCAAAATCTGCCTCATCTTTCTACTGAACATTGTTACTCGACCTGTCCCTCTCTTAAACGCCATATCATCATTTTATTTGTCTCTTGTTGGAGGTGGAATTTTGGTCGATTCTCCTTTGACAATACTATAGTAACGTAATACAATATAATAACATAATACATGTTGATTTTTTAAATATATACTTTTATGGAATACAATATAAATTTTTGTGTTTATATAAATAGCGATAAGAAAAATATTTTTTTCTTCTACAAAACGTAAAATAAAACATGGATGAACCTAATATAAATGAACTCAATATGAATGAGCCAGATATAAATGAGCCAAATATAAATGAACCTGATATAAATGAACCCAATTTAAATGAAACCAATTTAAATAAACCTGATACAAATGAAAATAATACATTAGTAAAATGTACAAAATGCTGAAAATTATTGTCTAGAAATAAATTTACTAAAAACAAAAATACCTTAAAAAAAGTTTGTGAATCTTGCCTTCAGCAATCTTCAAACCATTATAAAGCTTTAATTAAACATGACAAAAATGAAGTATTACTCCCTGAAAAAATAGCTGAAGAAATTTTTAATAAAATTTCTCTAGTTGGATCTGACGAATATTTTGAAAATAATTCAGATGGAATTAATTTTAAATCAACTATTGTATTGGATGATTTTAAAGATGAGAAAAATACCCCTCAAGAGATATCAAAAAAAATTGCGAACTTGATAGGTGATAGTGATGGCTATTATTACATTTATTTTAATTACTATGATTCAAAAAAAATGATGAGTTATATACATTTCAATATCGATGTTCTCAATGTCGAAGTTTAGCAAAAAAGCCTCATAAGCACCAGGACTCTGAACATCAAAAAGATCGTGAATCAATTGAATGCTTTGATTATAATGGAACACTTAGAATTTCCATAAATATGATAACCAATAATGCATATGTTTACCTTAAATATGAAATTCTTCACCAATGACCTGAAAAGAATTGAGTAACAGAAGAAGTCAAAAATGTAATTCAAACAAATCTTCATTTAATGCCAAGTGATATTTATAGAATACTAGAGTCAAACCATCCTGAACTAACACAAAAACAAATCCACGCATGGTGAACAATATTTATCAAAAAAAATTTGTTCGAGATGTTGATCAAATAAAATCTTCTAAAATTCTTTTGGAAGAATATAATTACCAAATTATCATGTTTAATATCAGCAATGGAATTAGTTTTTTAGATTTTGTCACACCATTTTTTGAGCAATTTAAAAAAAACAAAAAAATTTTCGTGGATGCTACCTATAAAACAAACAAGTTGGGACATGAGCTTTATTCAGTAGTTGGTCAGTATAATGGAGCAGGATTTGCATTAGCATATTTATTTGTCGAAGGTGGTAGACAGGATGGTACACAAACTGAAATTCTAGCAGATTTTTTTAAGATATTAATGGATTTGGAAATGGATCAACTTATTTATATGTATACAGATAAAGATCTTGCTCAGATTCTAGCAGTCTGAAAAGCATGGCCAAGCATTAAAATACAAGTTTGTTATTGGCACTTCAAAAAAGCTCTTAAAAAACAGTTAGCTAATAATATTCTACCTCAAAAAATAACGTATAGTTCATATGATGCACATAGTACATTTAACTTTATTGATATTGAGTTTTATTCTGAATTATCAGTAAGTCAAATTAAAACAAAAAATAATTTTATTTTTTGTCCAAAGGACCTACGGCTGCAAATAACTTCAATGATGGAATATCATATGCATTTGCATCCACTCATTCCTAATTCAGAAGGGATTTTTATGACAAAAGAAGAAATTTGGATGTGGTGTACGAAAGAAATGTATGAATTTTGTACCACTAATGACCTTAAACATCTTTGGTTATATATGTGACGAAATTGGTACCATAGTGAACTTTGGCCCTTATGGGCACACTCATTAATGTCTGATCGAATTTGCACTTTTTGTACTACAATGCTGATTGAATCACATTGGAAGGTTATAAAACGTGATTTTTTGCCAAAGTTTTTTAGACCACGATTGGATCTTGTAATTTATGTCCTTATTTCACAACTAATACCACATTATCAGCAACAATATTCTAAATATTATTATGGTCAAAAAATGCCTTCATAGTGCAAGAAATTTAAAAAAGAGTGGAATATATTGAAAAGCAAAAATCTTTGTCATACTTACTTGACCGATATTGAAAACTGGTTTTGTAGTTGCACTAGATTTTTAATGAACTGGTTTTTTTTATGCAAACACCTTGTTCAATTATCATCTTATACTGCTGATATATCTTTTTTTCATAATGTTAAACAACAAGATACATATCCATTTATAGCTTTACCATTACAAACTCAAAATAATTTATCAATTCGTAGACCATTATTTCCAAGATCAAATAATTCATTATTATTATCATCAAATTCTGTATTCAATAATGATAATAATAATTCATTATCTGGTAAGAAATCTATTTAAATTTATATTTATCATATTTGATTAATTTTAATTAATATGTATCTATATTAAAAGATATTACCGTATTAATGGATAATGAAAATTCTGATCAACTTTTCCAAAATTATGAGTCAATTTTACAAGATGTGCTATTGATAGTACAAGAACAACGTGAAGCTAATAACGTTAATTGGGCAAAGGCTGTCAAGAAAAGCTTTGAAGGAATTGATATTATGGTAACAGATATTAAAAAATATAAGCGGAGGGTAACAAATCCAAGAACATGAAATGACCATAATAAACATACCATGTTCTTATAATTTTATATAGGTAAAAATTTGTCATAGATGTTGTGTCAATTAAGATTATTTGTTAATTAAATAATACTATTTTTTTATTTATATTCAGGTTAATAAGATAAGGTTTCTTGTACACGTTGGTTTTGAAATTTACAAAGCTATAAAAATTTATAATTAGCACAGTATATAATTAAAAAAGCTGTAAATGAATAAAATTATAAATAAATTGATATATTGTATATACTATTTGCTTTAATATATAAATTTTATTCTGACAACTTGATTCTGCTAAATATTTATTACAAGAAAAAAATCTATATATTTAATTTTATGTATATACTCCAATTAGATCCAAAGTTATTCTTTAAAAATTCTAAACCATCCAAAGTTATATTTGAATTAAAAAATACTATGTACTTGAAATTAACAAATGTCTGGATTTATTTTCATAATTGTTGCCAATGAGAGATTACAAAATTTCAGAATAAATAAATTTTTTTAAGGTATCAACTTTTGGCATTTTGTACATTTTTGTATTGAATTATTTTTATTTATATCAGCTTTATCTATATTCTTTACATTTTGAGAAAAATTTTCTTACTATTGTTACTATTGTTTTGGGAGAGCGTATAGAACTATCGGCACAATTTAACTCCAATAGTTAACTTATATGT